TCTAAAGGACATGAACCAAGTTATAAACTGATAACTAATGCAAGCATTTGATACTATTGCACGAACCTTACTAAGTTTCTGTTTTCTTTTAATTGTAGATCCTATATGCAACCAAAGCAGATAATGACCACAGATGTGCAACAGAGACTACCAGTACCTGATCATCATATGTCATGGTGTAGATCTCAGGAACAGGACACCTACATGTAAGTTGAACTCTGGCAAGGTATGTTTGTATAAAGTTCGAAAATATTCAGGCTGTATAATCTAAGGCTAAGCCCATGCCAACATCGCACTCATCTTGGACTAATCACCAATTACCATCTTAATTATAATGTTGCATTATATCTTGTAATTCTCATTTATTCTCTAGCTTTATTTAGGTGACAAACTACGGTGTTGCTTAATAAACAAATCACTTTATTCCCTCAGCATGATATTACAATACGTACTCAAAGGTTGTTTTTTTTTCTTTAATATTACATACCGTATCTATCAAAAATTTTCTCACAAAATCAGACAACTGAACAGTAGATACTCCTATGTTTATAAACAACTTAAAATTATTCAATAGACTTCTACCTCTACATGTACTGCCTGTTGTATGTAGCAAATGTTTCACAAATAATAATATAAGAAAAACAATTTTAAAGTTCCTTGTTCAATAATTGGAAATGAATATAAACCTTTACTCTATTCTTCAAAAAAGGCCCTATCAGATAGACATAAATCTATCATTTTGTAATAAAACCAAAATGTAAGACCTAAAAGTGGGAAGGTACTATTAAAAAAAAAAATCTAATGTAGTGCAGCTAGTTTTAATCTCATTTGCTTTCTCTCTTTTTGTTTGTATTATGCAGGTTGTCCCATGCAGAAGGTTTGATACCCAGGCTTCTTTCTATCCACTCTCATCTTGAGAACTCTTGAGATCTCTACATCTGCACGCTACATCACAATGGGAAATACAAGAGAGCCAGCAGTGTGACTGAGATGATCAGCACATTTTAGTGGCATACCTTATCTACAAGGCACTCTGCATGTAGACTGGAAATTGTGCACAATTAGTCAGTGGTCTCTCTGCCTTTCCCTTGAAAGCCCTATTTTCCTTCGCATATCACAAACATGGGAGAACCAAGCCAGAAGCGACATAGATCCGTTTGAATTTGCCCAACGCTCCGTCCCAAAGTTTAATAATGGAACTGGCTTCCAGCAAATGTATGCCGACAGTCCTGCCAGGTCGAACTGCAATGGACTACTCCTGAGGCATCTAATGCCCTCATGCCATTAAAAAAATATCATCTGTCTTCCTCACACCCCTTCACTAGTTCATCTAATAATATAATAATAATAATAATAGCCTAATAGTCCACTCCAAATTTTATTAAACCGAAACGGAAATTCTTTTTGCCCAATTGATCGTGAGCCCGGCAGCCACTGAGTAGCGCCAGATCGACGTTGCTCTATCCCTTATTGTTGAACGCCAAACAAGGTAGCAACAACTCCCATCTTTAACGTCTTTTGGTATGACGCGGCCGGGGTTCGAACCCACGACCTCCCGGTTGTGTGGCGGACGCTCTATTGACTGAGCCAACACTCCGGTATCCAACACTTCGTGATAAGCTGTATAGCCCTTTGAATATTACCAGAAGAAGAAGAAGAAGAGGTATACCGAGGATCATAAAAGTATTTGTTCTTTTAATGTGTGTACATGTAAGATACAGGTAGCTTTTTGATATTTAATCTGAATTCAAATTCTGACCAATTTATTAGGGATGCTGAACTGGATACTAAATTCAAGGTGGGGAAAATGAAATGATGTAGGAATAGTACAATAGTAGTACTGTAATAGTATTAGTGATAATTAGAGGATAACAATAATGATAGTAATTATGATGACAATGAACAAAAATGTCCAATGTAAAAGAAAAAGTACTCATAGCAACCGCCCAAGGGAAACACAAAAAGTGGTCTATGTAGACAGGCTCCTTTAGTACATGTTTCAATGAGAAACCATTTTCAAGGAAAACAAAACAAATGTGGTCTTTGTAGACAGGTGGTCACTAAAGCAGGTTTGACTATGTATACCCATGCTTTACATGTTGATAATTGAATAAATCATATGGATTTTATTTTAATATATCTAATTTTCTAAATCTATAGTAGAATTATACATCCGAACAATTTTAAGTTCAAGAGACGACAGCCACCCCTCCCCCATTCATTTGTTACCTTTCTTTAGTTCAGGTTGTATTTTAAAAGATCATTATAGAAAAATTTATGTTCACAAATGTTAATAAAATTAGTTAATACTGCTTAATTCTTTTCTTTTCATTTTCTTATTTTTTAGAAGTTATGTGATGATGCTGGTGATTATAATCATCTTTTCTAATGAGAGAGAAGGGGGAATGTAATAACAGAGTGGGCAAGGTTAAAGTATAAATGCAGTATTAAAAAATGGTTTACAATAGAGAAGGGGGGAGGGTGAAGGGGGAAGTTAAATGAATAATAACTCAGTGCCAAAATGACACCATGTATGATCATGGTGGTGGTGATGGGGGGGGGGGGGGGGGGGGAGGGGGGTGTATGGAGGAGAGAGGGTAGAAGGTCCTATGGAAACGTCAGTATTTTGTGAAATATATGTGATGATGCTGGTGATTATGATGATGTAGGCACTCTGTAATGATAATGCTGTATGACTGAGGTGAGATGGGGGCTGATGCAGTCTTGTTTAGAATTGAGTATGGTGTTCGACCTTTTGATTTTTTGTATAGATCTGGCATCAGTGAGATAGATTTAACCATCTTTCCTAATGAGAGAAAAAGCGGAAATGTAACGAGAGTGGGCAAGACTTAAGTATAAATGCAATATAAAAAATGGTTTAGAATAGAGGTGGGGGGGGGGTTAAATAAAGAATAAGTCAATGCCAAAATGACAGCACAGGTAATTGTGGTGGGGATGGAGGAGGGAGGGTAATAGAGCCTAGTGAAATGTCAATATTGGATGGGGTCCTGTATTGAAAATGTTACTGTCGGGGGGGGGGGGGGCAAATTATTTTAAAAAAATCAGTGGCGACGAATGCAAGAATGAAAAGAACGAGGCAAAATTGAAATTTCATTGGGGATGGGGCACAATATGAAAGATCATTGAAGGCGAGTCGAGAATGATTCATTATTTGGACACTAGAAATATGAAAATATCACTTAAGTAAATAAACGAACAAAATAAAACACACAAAAAAGAGGTAAAAAATGAATTGAGGTACCACGGTAAAATGGGGTCATTATTTTGCTTTTTAACTGAACTTAATTTTTGTCAAAGTACTTTCCATCCTGGTGACAGTGAAGTTTGTAGCCTTAACTAAGTCGCAACCATTAGAAAGTTTATTTCCCCCCCCCCCCCCCCCCCCCCCCCACCTCCCCGACTCTGACCTTTGTTCTACATTTAATCGGCCCAAGGATTCTGTCGAAAGTAACGCATGCGCGTTGTCTTTTTTTTTCATTACGATAATATGCTAATAAGTGGACATGAGCTCATGAATATTCCAAATTTTGATTTACATATTTTACGCGCTGCGCGCAGTCCAAAATCCCCATTTCACTGGTGCACTAAACATTTGTCGTTTTCATATGCTAATACACGATAAGTGGAAGCAGCGTGCACTTTTGACCCTCCAAAATCTCCCCATGGCTAGACGGATGCAGAAGCGGAGTTGAGCCCCCCTGAAGTTATTGCTCAGAGCCGTCAAAGTAGTATAACATAAACTGTGTAATAAGTTGGACAACTTGGACTACGGCACATGATTCTTTTTTAGGCTAGCACGCAACTTAAATAGTATAGTATTAATGACTGCTTTGAGAGAAATAGTTGTTTTTATACGCTCAAGGGAAGGTTAGAATTGTGCTATTACCCGAGGCGTGCCGAGGGGAATAGCCCAATTGTAACCTTCCCGAGAGCGTATAAAAACAACTATTTCTCGAATATTAAAGCAGTCATTAATACTTTTATATGCCGAAAAAAAATAGACTAAAAAATAAAAAATAAAAAATACTCTTTTTTTGGTCCAAGATGAGATTCGAACTCTTGCGTACAAAAGGCGATGTAACTAAAGTCAGCGCCTCAGACCTCTCGGCCATCGCGCGTTATTAACATGCTTGGCAGTTTTGTACTATATATACATTAAAATGGATTGAAACCGGCTTTGCGTGTGATGAATGCTTCGCAAAAGCTCCATATACGGACTCTTCTTTTACTTTTGCAATGCATATTGGCACGAACTTAGATCAAGATCGGCGCTAGTGTAGCAAGGTATCCAAAATATAGCCTACTAAAACAGACCTCAAATTTCAGACCCCTAACCCTAACCGTGTTTATCATTATCTCTAGGGTTAGGGTTAGGGTTAGGGTTAGGGTTAGGGTTAGGGTTAGGGTTAGGGTTAGGGTTAGGGTTAGGGTTAGGGTTAGGGTTAGAGTTAGGGTTAGGGGTCTGAAATTTGGGGTCTGTTTTAGTAGGCTATATTTTGGATACCTTGCTACACTAGCGCCTCAAGATCTATCGGCAGATGTTGTTTTTTTGTTTTTGGAAGTTTATTTTCGTCTTCATGTCAACAATGCAAGATAAAATTGTCGGTAAGATCGATCGAGATTCAATTGTATTGAAATTACCGACCAATTATTCGCACACATACGGTATCCTCCATCGCTCAAACCATTTTTTAACATGTAAACCTATGGGGTAACCATGGAGACTGACCTATTTTTTTAATAACCATGGTTATTAAAAATATTGAAATGTTTTATGCATGGTTACCGGGAATTTTACAGGAACAGTTGAAGTTTATGAATGCAATTCGACCAATCAGATGGCTGGATTACTTAAGTGAGGTATATAAAGTTGTCTGTTTCTGTGTATATAAGCGGCTCTGTTGATAAATAGCCTTGATTTAAAAACAATATTTTTTCCGACACTTTTGGCCACTTGGCTTCCTGACAATGTATTTACATGGTATGAAGTGCATGTTATGATACTAAAAACAGTTGAAATACTTTCTCTTGCAATTAGTGGAGCCATTTTCGTAAACATTACTTTACTATTAGTTGATGATTCTTTGAAGTGTGTCCTTCGTCATCCATAGGGCCCCTCCCATGGCAGAGAGAAAGAGAGATGCTCCAACAAACCTGAGAAAGCCACTCACGGAAGGGAGATGTCTGTCTAAGAACGTTTCCTCAAATGGAAGAGCTGGCATGTCCTGAAAAAATGTAAGGAAAGGACAAACAAAAAATTCCAAAGACTAATTGGGAAACCAATTTTCTACTAATTCCTGGGAAACAGTTTTATTTCTCTCTTCATTTAAAAGGATGTTCATGAAGTGATAACGTAAGTAGTATAATGGTGCCGAAAAGTTAAAACGTTGCAAATTCAATTTATTGAGACAATGTGTAATGGACAGCGCTTACATCAGTACAAGACTTCACCTGACGATCGCCTGTACGTCCCGGCCCCCCCCCCCCCCCCACTCAGGGGTCGGAATGACCGCATGCGTGTTGCCAAAATGTCCGGTAAAGGGGTACTTTTCGTGCGACAAAGTCCGGCCCGAGAATTGTAAAAAAAAAAAGGGGTGTATTTGACTTTTCACCGGAGATTTCTTTAAAAAGGGGGTGGTTTTTTCTTTTTTTCTCTCATCTCTTTGGACTTCTGAGGAGTTATTCCGAATTTAGGGGGGTACATTGAGCATTTTTCCTGATTTAGGGGGGTCTCCAAGGCAGGAAAAGCCCGCAAAAAGCCCGCGAAAGGGGGTTCGGAAATGTTGGCAGTCCTCAGATAGGGGGGCTTTCAAAAAGAGGGAACGAGCATATGCGTACCCTAAATAACACTGAGTGGGGGGGGGGGGGCGGGCTGTACGTATAACGAAACGAAGAAGAAGACAAATGATTCGAAGTTTTTCAGTATGTAGCCTGTTGTAAGATTTATATGGCTTACTTTCCACTGAGAATTCATGGCAGCAACAGATAAGAATTTGCAATGATTGGACTGGATATGGATGAAGATGACTGATGAAGATGACCATGACATCTATGGTATGGTATGGTATGGTATTATTTCATTCTTCATACAAAAACATATTGATTTGATTTGATTTCTGCATTTTTTCCAAATACAATATAACTGAATTACAAAGAACATATAAATGTAAGGTATAATACAACATAAACAAACAATAATTCGTCGCTGTTTTCACGAAGTGACGGCAGTGAAAATAAATTGCATTCACTTTGCGTTACGATTTTCCTCACTACCGTCACTTCGTGAAAACAAGGACGATTTCTTCAGGTCAAAATGTTTTTTTTTACATAATATTATGTACATATAATAACGAAACTTATTATTTCCATAATATATTATCATAAATTTAAAGTATTATCCCTATTGGAAAAGTGAAGGAGACCGCAATCATAAGCAAAGCTTGACAAGGATGGCGGCCTCAAAAACACAAATATACAATACATACATACTATTAAAAATAATAAATTAAAAAAATTGAAATACATAGATACATGTAGTAGGGTAACATTATAGATGAATATGAATACAATAAATTTAACAAGGAAATTAGTTAAGAAAGCAAATTTATGTCGAATGAGGGGTCTACAAAAAGAGCGTTTAGCCTTGTTGAACGTTAAAGGAAACCAAAACCTATACTAATTTACTTTCATTGTAAAGTTTAACAGATTTGAATAAAATCAGTGAAAATTTGAACAAAATCGGGCAAGGAATAAGAAAGTTAGAGCTTTAAAATGACTAGTCACTAGAGGGGGGTATTCAATTTGATGACATCATCTGTGGACAACTCTCCATGCCTTTTGTACATAAAATTTCACAATTTTTTTTGTTTTCTTCGTATTTATTTGTGTTCTTGATCCGACTTCATAACATGTGAAGTAGAATATCATTTTGCATTCTATATCTTGCTTTCAGGGGAGACATTATCTCAATCACAAGAAAGAAAGAAGGAAAAACATGAAATTTGATGTACAAATTAAGGCATGGAGAGTTGTCCACAGATGATGTCATCAAATTGAATACCGCCCTCTAGTGACTAGTAATTTCAAAAGGCTCTTACTTCCGTATTTCTTGCCCGATTTTGTTCCAATTTTCACTGATATTTTTCAAATATCTTAAACTTTACAATAAAAGTAACTTAGTATGAAGGTTTTGGTTTCCTTTAACCCCTAAACAAGTACGTAATTAACATCACATTAGGAAGAAAAAGAAAGCAGGTGAAAACAGTAAAAGGGAAAAGGAAAACGTAATACAAAAAAATATATACACAAATATATACACAAATATATACGTCATGAATCAAATATGATATTCAAGTTGTTGAGTACAAATTTAATAAAAACAATCGAAAGGAACGTTTTAAAAGTATTTACGGAAGGTTGATTATTTAGATGGTTTGGAATCGTGCAACAAAGTTACATAAATGTGATATTATCCTCACCTCAGCTTCTGGTTCCTCTTGCCAGATCTCATCTTTACTTATCTTACCCATGGCATGCAGTATCTAATGAGATAAGAAAAAAATAAATAGAGAAAACAAGACAAAGAGAGAGCCAGAAAGAGAGAGAGAGAGAGCGCGAGAGAGAGAGAGAGAGAGAGAGAGAGAGAGATAGAGGCAGAAGGTGGAAGAGGAGAGTGAGTACGATATGTTTATAATGTATATATAGAGAGAGAGAGAGAGAGAGAGAGAGAGAAGAGAGAGAGACAGACAGAGAGAGACAGAGAGAGACAGAGAGAGAGAGAGAGAGAGATAGAGAGAGAGGGCGAGAAAGAGGATATATTATAGGGAACAGAGTGAGAGAGACAGACAGGGGAGAAAAGGGGAAGGGTGGTAGGAGTGAAGAGGAGAAAGAGAGAAAGGACAGAGTTATCAGAATGTCTATTTTCTATAAATGAGATATTGGCTTGAGTAAGTTGGAATGAAAACTCTCTAATATAATGTTCTTTGCGTCATCGAATGTCTCGCCAATGTCTTACATGTATTCACTGGATGGGGAATCTGAATCCGTAAATCAATCAAAAAGCTACACATGTTTACAAAACAGCATGTCAAAGAGTAATTAAGCAAGTCTTGTTTGACTGAATATACTTCATAACAGGTATGCGGTTATTTTTCAGTGTGCACATCTCTATCAGTATTATCACAACCAACACTATCACTATCACCACAAGCATCACCGTCATCACCACCATCATCATCATTATCATCATCACCACCACCACCATGAGCAGTAACACCACACTTGAGCTTACCTCTCTTGCGGCCCTCTCCCCTGCCTGTACTGCTCCATCCATGTATCCAGACCATTTGGTAGCCGTCTCTGTACCAGCAAAGTAAAGACGACCTATTGGCTCTCGTAGAACCCTGTTGTCGATAATTATCAAGAAGACGAAGATGATCAACACACGAAATAAAATTCTAAATCGATCATTCATCTATGCCATTGCTAGATGAAAACACATGTGTAATCCCATTAATGCTCATTTAGGTCCATTTTTATACTCATTTCATTTCATCAGGATTCAATTTGGTACCAAGTTTATTTCCCACATAATGCTCTCTGAACAAAAGTTGCATTAGATAAATTAAACTTAGAATTTGTTCAATTTAAGTATTGTATGCACAATGTAAATGAATAAGAGGAAAAAGCAATGGCTGATTGCATAGCTACTCATTACGACAGCAAACTAGTATACCCATTGAATATAAATTATATGGAAAAAAAATGTATTCAATACATACTACCTCACTTTAGTTTTCTTGAGTTCAAGTTCAGTTATCATTTCATTCAGATTAGTTCGTTAACTTAATGTCAATTCAGGTTGATTCAGTTGGGTTTAGTTCAGTTAAATTTAATTCATTTCAATTCAGATTACTTCGTTAAAATTAAGTCAAATCCGGGCAGGCTAATTCAGGTGGGATTAGTTCAGTTCAATTTAATCATTTCGATTCAGGTTAGTTCAGTTCGATTCGGTATACTCAAGTTCAGTGCAGTTCGGTTTAATTTAGGTCAGT